TAATTCTTCAAGTTTTAAACTATAAGTTTTGGTCCGTCAAGTTTCTTTTCATTTAAAATAATGGTCTCTATAATCCAATAAAAAATTGGACCATTTTGTCCCTTGAGAGACCAAAACCTATGATTTCAAACTTGAGGGACTAAAACCAAAATGAGAGTAAATTTGATAAATCAAATATTATATTAACTTTTGAAAAAAATTAAGAAAGTTACTATATTACTTCAAAGTATCTGTATTTATGATTTTTTTTTCCAAACTAATTTGACTCATTTATAAATTGATATATAATTTAATGATAAACATAAGTATTTTAGATAGATTATATAATATATGTTATAATCAAGTAATTTAGTTTTTTTTAATATTTTCAAATTAGTTAACTGAGTTTTTTATTAAGTACCGGAGGTAGTAGTTATGTACAAGTAGTTATGTATAAGGTCAAAAAATTGGACTTCAAACTAAAAACACAAATTAACGCGGTTGCATATACAAATTTTCTGACCTTTCTACGTCAATCTCCCGAGAGAAAAAGGGATGGGTACAGAAGATAAATTAATTAATCTCATTTGACCGGAGGTCTTCTTTTTTTTTTTTGGTGTTAATTCACGGCGGAAAGGTTTATAAGAGAATGGGAAATTGAAGAAGAATATAAATTTGGGGGGCGGGGGGTAAAAACTGGGGGTGAAAAAACAAAAAAGAAGTAAATGACGCGAATATCTTTCATAGAAAAGCGATAATTAATTATTAGTAAATTATAAGGTAGGATTATTGGGTCCCTGGAATTATTTTTAACTGGTTATTACCGAAAGATGGAAGACGCTCTGAGGAACAATTCACATAATAAGGAACTTTTTAATTTAATACTTATTTATTTCTTAATATAAGACCTAATTATTAAGTTACTCTTCTGGTTCTTAATATAAGACTCATTTAACTAATTTGATTAGATTAAGGAAGTTATGTAAGTTAGTTAATTATAAGAAATATGACATGTTTTTCCTAAAATACCATAATCAGCTTTCTTAATACCTCATCTCCCTCTTCTACTTGATTATGGTTGAGAAAGTATCTATAAAAATACTTTAGAGAAAATTGATAAATATGAGAAATAAGTTTTATATTTAAGACCAAAACCAACTCAACAATTGGGTTCTATATTAAGAATCGGAGGAGTAGTTAATTTTGGTCTCAAACATAAGACCTATTTCTTATATTTATCAATTTTTTCTAAATTACCCTTATGGATACTTCCTCAACCATAATCAAATAAGTGAGGGCAGAAGGATATTAAGAAAGATGATTATGGTGTTTTAGAAAAAACATGTCATATTTCTTATAATCAACTAATTTACTTAACTTTCTTAATCAAATCAAATTAGTTAAGTATGTCTTATATTAAGGATCAGAGGAGTATTACCTTTATTGTTTAATATAAGAGCCAGGTAGCTAATTTGGAGATATTAAGAGAATTAATTAGGTTAGTAGTTATAATAAATATGTGTTTACTTCTCTAAATTATTTAATTATGTGTTTTGAAACCAGCTACCCTTGATAGTAATCACTAATCAATAAGGATATTCCAAAAAAAAAAATTAAAAATTTAGAAGAAAAAATGAATTAAAGTCTTATATTTAGAATCAAATCTTACCCCTCAATTAAGTCTTATTGTAAGGACACAGCATTCATAACATGGTTGTTGATAATTTATCACAGATCTGTATGTTGCCTCACGGCAAATTAAACGGTCTTTTCAACAAGAATTCCCCAGAAGTAAATACAAATTAAATGACATATACTCCTTCCAATACTTAATATAAGACTTAATTAATTAATTTAGAGAGATCAGAAAAATACTAAATTATTTTAAATTATTTATATTTATTATTTTTCTACAAACTAATTTGCGTCAATCTAATAATACATACAAATATTTTTAAAAAAATCATATAACATATGATATAATTAAGAATTAAGTAACTTTTGCAATCTTTTCAAATTAATTAATTGGGTTTTATATTAAGAACTCATAGTCATATTTTTCTAAACACATTTGGAGAGTGCGAGGAAACTACGCGGAATGAACATCTCAGTCAAATTAAGATTCTAATTATGTAATTTCTGTCCCCAGATCAACGTTGGTTACGTATCCTAATTATCTGACCACCTGGCATTGGTGTTGAATATTATATATATATATATATAAATGGATCGAGAGAGAGCCTAAGGTCTAGGAGATAAGAAAAATTATTGGGAATGCATATTATTTCCAAGCAGGTTCATCTTATTTGAATAGTCTTTTTCTGATTAGTCAGACTACATATACTTTTCAATTACTTAACGTCACGTCAATGGCATCTTAATTCCTAAATATAAATTCAAAGAGGGATATTAAAAAAAACTGATGAGAAATCTGCAAATTAAACATGTATGTGACGAGGCCTCTTTCTCTGTACTTGAGAGACCAAGCTTATCTGACTGTTCCGCCGCCGGAGGGTCCAAAATCGGGTTTTCTGGTGATCTCGGACGAAGAAGCAGAGGCGAGACGACAGAATAAGGAACCTTCCACTTCCTCAGAACAAGGACTTGACCGTTTTTGCTACAGATGAATCCACCAACAGAGTCATGTTCATCCCAGTTTTGAATCAACCTTTGAGTGCCAATCGCTACTACGCCATCTTCACACATGGCTAGGAAGAAGGGTATGTACAAAATCGATTCTTTATATACACGCACATATGTTCCTCCTGTCCTTAATGTATATCTAATTAGAGAGTTAATATTAATCCTATATGTAAAATCTATTTAACATGCACTACAAAAAATTTGACTTTCAGCGGCGACATTGAAAGTCCAAAAGTCGCCGCTGAAAAGCTTCAGCGGCGACATTTTGTCGCCACCAGGTCGTTGCCGTAGCGGCCGTGGCTGAAACTTATCAGCGACGACATAAAAAGTCTCCACTGAAACTAGACATTCAGCGGCGACATTTTGTCGCCGCTGAAACTGGACATTCAGCGGCGACTTTTTAGTTGCCGCTCAAACTCCTTTAGTCGCCGCTGAAAGCTGATGAGTTTGCCACTCGGATGCGTCGCCACTGAAACATGAGAATCGACGGTGACTAATGTCGCCGCTAAAGCCTGTTTCAGCGGCAACTTTTTGAAGACACTTACGTCGCCGCTGAAGACTGTTTCAGCGGCGACAAAAAAGTCGCTGTTGATTATATTTTCAGCAGTGACCATAATGTCGCCGCTGATTGTCATTTTAATTATTTTGATAATATATTAATTATGCAAAAAATTTTATTTATATTCCTGATAAATATTATCAAAAGGTTTAATAAAAATAAAATAATTAACACACAAATATAGTATATTAAATAATAAGATTTATAACCATCAAAGTGTTTTTTATGTCTTTAACTAAAAAAAAATTGTTAAATTAAAAGATACATTATATAATACAAAAGAAAAATTACGTAGAGGGATCAATACTAGGGACGCTAGAAGTAGGGATATCTGCAGGAGCATTTAACTGCATCTTTTGCGTGAAAGCAGTGAACTGAGCTTGTATTCTCTATTCCATCAATTGCTCCATCCTTTGTTCAAGTTGTGTACGCTTTGCTTCCATCTTTGCTCGCTTTGCAGCATGTTCTGCTTCCATCTTTTCTCGCTCTGCTGCACGTTCTGCTTCCATCCTCTCTCGCTCTGCAGCAAGATTAACACATTTAGAATCTCTGCATCCTAACACTTTGGTAGATAATTTTTAGTATGAATTTTATGTTGAACTTTATTAAACCACATAAAAGGATATGTGAAACTTTGGTATCACCAAAACAAAAACCCCTAGCTAGTGATCCTTTTTGCTTGTACTATTAAGAGATCTCGTAATAATCAAACGTACAAGCTAAGTCTTATTATCTTCTGTTGTAATATCCCCCTCCAAAACAGTTTTCTGCAACGTACAAAGCTGCTTAACTACTTGTTTCTTGCAGGCTGTCAAATTGGAATGGATGAAGATCATTATATATATCATAATAAAAAGCATCTATAAACAACAGTACTCAGGTTTTGCTAATCACTTATGATAATTTAAAATTTCCCAGTCTTCTCCCGAGTAATCAAGTTTCCCATCTTGAACAGCAAAAGCAATCCGCCTATAAGATATTGGAAACCAAACATAAAACAATATACTAGTCTCTATATATATGTGTGTGTGTATATATAATATAATACTTCTCATGCAGGTTTTGCTAATCCTACAAGGTCCAAATATACAACTTTTTGTTAACATGCATATAATTAACGTAACAGTATCAATAAACTTCCAATTTACTCCATCAATAATTAACACTTTCATCACAATTTTATTGAAAACTGTAAAATGATACATAAAAAAGATTTCAACAGTTAACTTATTAGGGAGGTAACTGTAAAACCCAATAATAAAATGTAACCAAAAAAAAAAATTCTTGTCCTGCACCAACTAACCTAACTTCATGCATGATTATGTTGAGGGCTCAAATATTCTTGGAAAGAGTCTCCACAAATACACCCATAAAACCATTCTCATTAGTTAACATCACCATGAAATGTGAATACGACTCATGATCTCACGACTTCTACTCAGCTTACGTATATGTACCTTTTGAATTAAAAGCTAATCTCAATAATTCTAAATAACAGGAATGAAATGTGGAGAGAGGAAAACAAGAACAAATAAAGGATTCAAATCCGATCCGTACCCTCCCCTCTGTGCTGAAATCTCAAACCCAATTTATGAAGATCATATGGTCTCCAGACTATTGTAGGTTTCACCGTTTCAGATTCACATCAACTTTGTTCAGAAAATTATAGCCAGAATCAGAATATAGTTATATTAAAAATGACAGATAAATAAAAACAATTAAACAAATATATGACTGAAAACAAACAATTAAACAATTAAATCCCTTTCCTGCTCCTCTCCCGATAAGACTGAGGCTTGGCGGGAGGTTCTTCCCCTTGGGGTTTTTGTTTCAGCTCTAAATTCTCACCACTTTCACTCTACAGTGCAAAACAAGTTATAATCAAGAACAAGAATTTCGTTGTTGAAAAAGAAAAGAAAAGAAAAGAAAAGGGTTGTCTTACCTTGCACTGGACTGAGCAGAACTTACTCTCTCTTTGGAATTCTCTTCCACAGGTCTTGCACGTGTAGCAAGATTTATTACTCTGAGACTTGGTTTGTTCACATGATCTTCTGTTGACGAAAACTACTTGTTTATGATTAATAATGAAAGGATGTATGTCTGAGATATCAAGTAACTTGGACACCTGATTTGCATACAAACAGTTCTCGCGCGAAGCCTTGTAAACCTGGAAAATACAAGTCCACATAATAATTATTAATTAACACAGCAACCTTGAAAGGGAGAGTATATGTGTACAAATAAAATAATTACGGAGACACCCACGGGAAGTACTATATGGTTTTCATGTGGGTGATTATTGGTTGCTTTAAGGCAGAATTTGCAGTATAATTGCAAGCAGGTAACGCAGAAACTGGGGAAGAATTTGTTGGTTTGATTGCAGCCAGAAGAATGTTGCAATGGATCTTTGTTCTTGCAAGCCTCCAACAACGATTTCACCCAACGAGGATCCACTCGCTTCTCGCAACCTTCTGTGTTCAGCTGTGAAATTTAATGCCAGAGAAAAAAAACGGATCTCAAAATACAAAACAAGAAAGGGGGAAAAAATACAGCACTACAAGACTTCAAGCGAAGAAGAAGATCAGTGCACTTACATGGATGACAGCAAGAAAGAACGCTGGAAGTGATGGACTAAGCACAAATGGACGCTGGAATAAGTTAGATGCTCGAAACTTCTATGCGCGGCGCTGGTCTGGTGAGAGCGAGGGAAAAGTAAACTTTTCAGAAGATTAGGGCGGGTTAAATTGTTTTGGGTTTCAAAATAAGAAACTTTAGATATAAAAACAATGCGCCAGCCTTGCCAATAACACACGTGGCTTCAGTGGCAAGGGGAGTGTTAGCTATTATAATTACCAGGTTCCCTGTTCGAACTAGCCAGGTAAAAATTAAATTTTTTTAAACCTTGTTGAGCCAAAATTAATGTGTAAAAAATGGGCATTGGTCAGACTCGAACACAGGACCTCTACATTGGAATAAACAAGCGTGGCTAGCCAGGCTAATGAATTTAATTGAAACCATCGGGCAATAGAAAATATATATAATATGTAACCGTATATGTTTTACAAAATTTAATTAATCACATTTTAAATTAAAAAATATAAATAGTAATAATATTTAATTAACTATATACATGATTTTATTATCTATATCTGTCACACATTTTTAATTAATTATATTATCTCCTTCAATAATTTTATTTCTCAATCCTCTCATACATATGTTCATGATCAAATATTATTATGTCAATTAAGTATGCTCACACTAATTTAATTATAATAATCTCTCACATATATTTAATTATGTTATCTCTTTCAATTATAATATCCTTCTCTCTCTCACACATACACACTATCTCTCTTCCAATAATATTTACATCTACCTCTCACACACACTCTATACTTCATTACTTATCCACTACAAGAAAATGTAGAATTAGCAGCGGAACATTTCTAGCGGTTCAACAAAACCGCTAGAAATTCCAAAATTTCTAGCGGTTTTAAGAAAAACCGCTGCAAATTACAGACGGTTTGACCATTGCCCGTACATTTCTAGCGGTTACCACCTAACCGCTAGAAATTTAGAGCTAGAAAATTTCCCGGGTTTTGGCAGGAACTTGGCGCCAAATTTGTAGTGTTTATTTTCTAGCGGTTCAGGCCAATAAACCACTAGACACTGAAAATTTCTAGCGGTTGATGCATGAACCGCTAGAAATATTTTTAATTCCCCGAGGAGTTTAGAAATTTCTAGCGGTTCGGGTAAAAACCGCTAGAAATTTCTAGCGGTTCGGGTAAAAACCGCTAGAAATATCTGCCAATTCCCGAGGACTTCTGACCGTTGGGAATTTCTAACGGTTGTGTACAGAACCGCTAGAAATTTCTAGCGGTTTTGAACAGAACCGCTAGAAATTCTCGGTCTATATAACCCCCCCACTTTCACTTCTTCAATTGTTCTGGAAGCGAAGCTCTGCTGAATTTTCTCCACAAACATATTCGAGTTCTGATTCAGTTGCAGATCCTTATTTTCAGGTAAAAATAGTAATTTATTGATAAGTAATTTTTATTTTATGTTTTATTTTATTTAATTTATTATGTTGTAGCTTATAAATAATTTTTCTTTTTATTTTATTTATAAATAATTACTATTTGTTGTTATTAGGATGACTCGTCGGCACGGGAAAGACCCAGTTGATCCTGAGAGAGCTGGACCCAGTGAGGTTCATCATGATGCTGGTAAGCCATTCCCCAGCATTCATGACTACGATCTCAGCGAGGAGGATATCCTCAGTTTTATGGAGTAGGATGATGTTGAGCGGACTGAGGAGGCTCATTTTACTGGGGATGAGCAACCCCATGCTGATGCTGATGCTGCTGACGAGGAGGAGGAGGAGGAGCAGGATCAGGGAAATGAGTATCCCCAGGCTGCGCAGTGTCCTGCTCCGAGACGTCAGGCTGGTTATGAGGTGGAATTTGTCGATAAGTATTTATTTAACTTTTTAAAATTTTGATCAGTATTTAATTTATATAGAAATTGTATTAATTTATTGATATATAATTTATTTCTTAATTAAATTTTGCAGACACTGAGGGGAACAGGTCCTATCGGAGGCTGACAGCCAGAGAGCTGTCTATGATGACGAGCGGACGAGTGGTTGTGCCGCTCAATGAGTTGGGCCAACCGACGAAGAAAGGTGGCCAGTTGTACAACAAGTACGTGCACCTCCTTGGTCAGCAGTGGACGCTGTTCCCCATCTACGTGCAGGACTGGAAGAAGATGACCTCAGACAAGAAGCAGCAAGGCTGGGAAATGATGAAGGTAATATAAAATTGTTATTTATAATTTTTTTTAATTTAAATAAATGATTATATATTTTGTTTTCAAATAATTTAATTGTTTGATTATAATTTTTTATTTATTTAATTTGTTTGTTATTTATAATATTTTTAAAAGTAGTTAAATGAATATATATATTTTTTATTTAAATTATTTAAAAGTAGTTAAATGAAAAAAATTTGTTATTGATTTCATTAATTTATTACTTATAATAATTTTAAATTTAGTTGAGTAAAAATATTTTTTCATTTAAATTACTTAATTGTTTAATTATTATTTGTTTTTGATTAATTTATATTTTATTTATAATATTTTTAAATTAGTTAAAAACTAATTATTTGTTTTTTATTATTGAAATTGCTTAATTATTTGTTTATAATTTGTTATGTAGTTAATTTATTATTTTAATCATAGAGTAAATTTATTCTGGGGGAGGAGTTGAGGGCTGACACGATCAAGAGGCTAGGGATGGCATGGAAGAACAGAAGGGCCGACCTGTGGAGGGAGAAGAAAGGTGACGGGACGAGGCCCCTCCAGGAGATACTGGCAGATGTACCTGGTGGAGTCCCGGACCAAGACTGGTCCAGTTACGTCTATTTTAGGATGACGGCTGACCAGATGCTATGATAATATTGTATTAATTATAATTTCTTTATTTTTTATCCGACTTGACTCATTTAATTTAATTTTTTTACATTTTGCTTCAGGCTCTTTCTAGGAGAAATGCTGGGAGCGTCAGGCATCAGACGATACGTCATAGGGCTGGATCCAGGAGCTTTGCGATCACTTATGACAAGATTGTGAGTACTTGAAATAAATTTATTAAATATGTATATGTATTTAATTTGTAACTAATTATTTCTTTGATTTCATTTATAGAGGGAAAAGATACGGCAGGAGCGGGGATACACGGCCACTTATGGCGAGATGTGGCTGATGGTGTATAGACCTCGAAACGAGCGTGCGTCGGATGAGGTTGAGGAGATAGCGGTAAGTAATAAATTAAATATTAATATAATATCACAGTGTAGATATCATTATATTATAATTAACTTCTTTATATTAATTTTGGTAGGCACGGATGACTCAGTCGATTCCGAGTTGCGTGAGTCTCAGGGGTCTGCCTTGGATCCCACCGCCTCACTTTTAGCGGGTCGTGGCCGGCCGCAGCACCCTGGTCGAGTTAGCGGGCTTGGACTTGGACCTACACCGACTAGGTTGCCCTGCTCAAGTGGCGCTGGCCCTTCATATACTGCTGGGAGCTCTCATGCGAGTGCGAAGCGGCCGGGTTCCTCATCCTCAGAGGAATTGCGAGAGGAGCTCAGACAAGAGTTTGAGGCTAGGATGGAGGCCAGGATCGTGGAGCGTGATCGTCAGCTGCAGGAGCGTGATCGTCAGCTCCAGATGTAGCTTGACCAGCTCTTGGCAGCTGCTACGGCTCTGCGTCATGTGGTGGTCAGTATAGCTCCAAACATCTCGGTTCCTGAGATCCCCGACCTACACCTGCCATCAGTCCTGCCCCTACCCCCCATCCGCCAGTCCAGTCCCAGCAGGTTGAGCGGCCTGCCCACCCCCAGCCGGAGGATCCAGCAGAGGATGATCACGATGATGCTGCTTCTGCCCCTCACCCATGATTTATCTTGCTTTCATTGTATGGGATTTTATTAGAATTTTGATTTTACGGTTTTATATACTATTTAGATATTTATTTAAATTTTATATTTATTTGTTTACTTTATTTATTTATTTCTATAATTTTATTTATGTCAAGTATTAATTAATATTGAAATATTTATTTATTTATTACAACATCAACATTACAATTTATTAAACACGTTAAACATGTTAATTAATCAAAATAATTCTATAATCATTTATTAATTTAATAAATATTTATTTTTGTAATGTTATTAATTTATTGTGCGGTATTTCTATTTAATATTTAAAAATAATATCATTTGTAGCGGTTCTAAAACCGTTAGAAAATTCAATTGAATTTTATTACATCGTGAAACTTTCTAGCGGTTTTATAAACCGCTAGAAAATTAGTAATTTTCTAGCGGTTTCAAAAAACCGCTAGAAACTTACCTATTTTCTAGCGGTTCATAAAACCGCTAGAAAATTACCTAATTTTACATTTTCTAGCGGTTTTATAACCGCTAGAAATTTCAAAACCGTTGGAGACAAAATTGCCGTTAAACCGCTAGAAATTTTTATCGGTTTGTAACCGATATTTTGAATTTCTAGCGGTTAATAACCGCTGGAAAATGAAACTTTTCGTTAAAACCGCTACAAATTTGTAGCGGTTTTGTAACCGCTACAAAAAAATGACCGTTCCACCAGCCTCCTTATAAGCTGAAGCACTCCAACTGAATTCCATTTTAACTTCTCTTTGAGCTTCCTGTGTCATATTTTCACGAAATTTGAGCATTATTAGTGATGGATAGGTCATGGATCAACTTGCACCGGTCGACTCCGCAATACTTGGCTGGTCTAAACTATTTCTTGGATTTTGCTTTCGCCAATGCTGCCGTAAATGGTAAGATTCAGTGTCCCTGTCCTAAATGTAATTTCAAAAAGTGGCATCCCAAAGATATTGTTAGGGAACATTTAATCTTTAAGCCTTTTCCGCGAGAGTACGTATTTTGGCAACTACATGGGGAACGGCTAGATATGGGTGCTGAGTCAGTTCCAGTAGTTTCACGGATGGGAGTTCGAGTGGATGAAGCCGATGCCGTGAATGATGCTGTGCGTGATGCTTTTGGTGTTCACGAAAGCTCGAATCCCAACGAAGATGAAGTAGAGGGACC